GGTATCTATGCTATTCTGGACCGAATATATTGACGATCAGGATAACTATTATGGCGATCAAAAGACTCGTTATAGTGATGACAAATTTAAGAGTCATTTAATGGGCGCCTATCAAGATGGACAGGCTGTTCGTGTAATCGCGGATTCTCAGTATATTAGGCGACATACACTTAACTTAGACATAAGGACCAAAATGATTTATTATATACGTACCAAATATGATGACCAAAGTGTTAGCCAGGTATGTTCTGTGAATTACAATGGGAGTGACCAACGGATAGTCCACTCGTCGACAAACCTGTTCACCGATACTATACTAATGACCACCGATTTGTTTGGGGAATACCTATATTGGATGAGCGCTACAAATAATTCTATATTACGAGTGCCCATAAATAACGTGTCCGATACAGTACTGAGCGCACAGGTAGTCATGGAATCTGGAATAGAGTTGAATACTTTCAGAATAATTAATAAATTACGTCAACCTACCGGTTCTAATAAGTGCGCTCAGAGTAGGTGTACCGAACAGGGATTGTGTTTGCCTACTGGCTATATGAATGCAAACTACCGGTGCGTTTGTAAAAAATATTACGGTACTCCTGTACTATGGAACGGTACGGCCTGTGCCCACCACGACCTACCTGTGGTCACGACACCTGATCCACAAATAACCCCGCCGTACCCTTTGATTTAAACGACGAAAACACGAAATTACTGTACGTTTCCTATAAAGAGGGCATTTATATTAAACGCGATGTAAATGAGACAGGTTATAATTACTTAGACGGTTCAATAAGTTCGTAAATTTATAAATTAATGTATAATTAAGGTAAATAATATATATGTACTTAATTTGTACAGGTTTATATGCGTCACCTAATTGGATAACTTACCTCGATTTTAATTATCGATATGGGTTTATGATATGGCTTGAAAACACTGTCAATGGTTTTGAAATAAACTTATCTCCAATACATAAAGATATGGTTAAATATTCGAAATATAACAATGTGCACAGGGTGGTTAAAAAAGATTACCAAGCTAATGGTTTAGCCTACGACTGGATACATAATTTAGTTTACATATCAGTCACTAGTGGGGTAGAAGTTTATAACATTGGCGATCATATGAGCAGTATATACAAGTTAGTTTTAATATTTAATATACTGAGTACTGGTAATTGTTCTAATAATTGTTCCTGTTTATTATTATAGCTACGATATCATAACACACGATGAAATGCAGGGTGATGTTAAAGTGGACCCCATAGGGGTCCTACTTGTGTGGTCTCAATGGCGCCATAATATGACTGCCAATGAATATAACGGCAGTATTATGTGTTCAAAATTAGATGGATCCGACATACAGATGCTCAACAACCGCACCAGGCATCCACACACTATAGCACTGGACACAAACGCTCAGTTAGTCTATTGGATCGACACATTTTTGTATACTTTAAACGTTATGGACTATAAGGGGCTAAACGTACGTACGGTAGCTCAGGGATCGTCACTATTTTCAACCGCTTTTTCAATGGATTTCTATGGGAAGCACACCTATTGGTCGACAGGACAGACAGTATACCGGGGCGATGGGAACAACACTGAGGTAGTGTTGAACTCATATTCGGATATACAGGGAATTTGGGTGTTTAACACCGGGAGGCAAGGTTTTGGATCTAATTATATGTGTCATCAAAGAAACGATGGCTGTTCGCAGCTATGTCTACCAGTTTCACAATATAGATCCCGGTGCGCTTGTGGTAAAAATCGCATACTGTGTCGCGAGAGTGTGAGTTGTTTTTTATAGTGTTGAATATGACTTAATTGTCTTGATAAATTTACACTTGGAGAATTTTTCTGTGTATTAAATTTTTAATTGTTTATATTTATAAATCTAGAAATGGTTATCAGCGGAGTCCAAAAACAATTTAAATAATACTGAAAAAACACAATTGACTAACAACACTGAGATAAATAAACTGGCAACTAAATTTGATAATTTAATTCAAGAATTGCAACATATGTTTGGACAACAAGAACAACCTAGTACAAATAGTAAATGGTTTATCATTACGATAATTGTAATTATTATAATAAACATTTTAGTTTTTGCATATTTGTACAGAAAATTTTTAACGTAAGTTACTTATTAATGATAAGTTATTATATTTTATTAAACTAATACTTATTTAATTTTCCAAATAAAAAATATATATTCTAGGCAACTTATTGCAAACTGTTCATCGAAAACAAGTAATAATAAGCATAATAATATGGATGACATGATAATTATGCGGGAGACTTCAATTAATAGTGAATTGTAAATTTTTGAGTTAAATGTTCAACTAATCATAAGCTTTGTAGGTTAGCATACAGCATGAAAGACCCGGGTACTTCAAATTAAGTTAATTAATTAAGACAAATTAAGAGAATATTTCAAAGAACCCGTGAAATCAAAAAATATTATTACATTGTGTCATATAAATTATATAAATTATATAAATTATATAAATTATATAAATTATATAAATTATATAAATTATATAAATTATATAAATTATATAAATTATATAACATTTATGTTATAAGTTAATGAATGTTTTTACTGTATACAATTAAATAATAAAACTTTGTAAATTAATTATTTCATTTCAAATAATTTATTTGTTCAGCAGTGTTAATTCAGCATCAACAATTGTACAGGTCAATTAAAACAGGTAAAAAATTATTCCAACTAAGTTACAAAATGCTTAATAGATTTAAAAAATAATGTAACTAAAACTTTCTAAGCCCATATAAAATTTTAAAAAGTGCCGCTCTCTCTCTCTCTCTCGCTCTCTCTCTCTCTCTCTAACACACAGACACACACACACCAATCATTTTGTATTATAACTCAAATGAACTTTACCTGTAGGCGAGAAATACCAGTTGTTGAATTCAGTATAGATCTATATTCAATGGCCTGTATTCTTATATTATAACCGCCATCATAGTATGAAAACACTATATATTTGTCTTGAATATCTACATCTAGGCTTTTGAATACTACACCAGATATTCGGGAAAACTTGATCGAAGTTTGTGTATTTATAATATCATGATCATTTGCAATATAATTATAAGAAATATCATTATGATATAAACCAGTATTAAAAAATATAATAGGCAATTCACTTGTAGCACAATATAAATTAACTAAAATTGGAAAATAAAATGAATTTTATTAAACATTTTGAAAATAAAATATGAAAAATAACATATATGATGTATATATATATCAAACATTCGTGCAATTAATGCACTCAAAAGAACATATTGATAGTTAACTAAAATAAATAAACATTGTGATAAATTTGTAGTAATAATGTGCTGGTTGTGAAATTGCACTATTTGCCCTTTGTGCACTATTTTTGAACTATTCGTTAACTAAATGATAATCAACTTTTAGAGTTTTAAATTGTATACTAAGGGTTTTTACTGGTTTTCTATGATTTGACCCACGTTCATTTGACCTACAATACCTAAATGACAGGAAAAGGAGGTGGAAAACGAAGGTCGGGCTCGTCATCCCCGGTATAGGAAAGGTGTGCAGATATCGCTCACTCGAGGAATGGATCAATTGGTGGCGCTCTCAAGGAATGGATCAATTGGTGGCGCTCTCAAGGAATGGATCAATTGGTGGCGCTCTCAAGGAATGGATCAATTGGTGGCGCTCTCAAGGAATGAATGTTTGTGGCGTTCGCTATGAAGTGGGATCGCCATCTGGAGTGGGACTGCCATCTGATAGACCGCTCACATGGAGTGGCTCTTAGGCGGTGCGCTGCCGACATATGGAGAAGTGGTCCGATTGGAGAAGTCGTCCGATACTAGAAGTCGTGAGACTCAAGGAGTCGACCGTTACGAGTCATCCGACTCGGGGAGCCGTCCGATACAAGAAGTCGTCCGACTCGGGGAGTCGTCCGATAAGAAAGTCATCGGGACTCACCCAAAAGGCCTAAAACCGAAAAGGCCTAAACCCCAAAAGGCCTAAACTTGAATAACTAACTGACCAATGGACATTTGACTTAATTTAGGTTAGGATAGGTTAGGTTAGGTTGAGGCTCGTCTATTCCACTAATGAAATTAAAAATATATCCACTGGTCAGTTAGTTATTTGAGTTTAGGCCTTTTCGGTTTTAGGCCTTTTGGGGTTTAGGCGTTTTGGGTTTTAGGCCTTTTGGGGTAGAACCAAGTCATCCAATATATAAGGAACCGCTTCGAAGGAAACTAAATGACTAAAGGCAGAGCTGTATGGCCGCTCGGGCACACCTGACTGTGCCGTTAAATGTGTAGTGTTTTTAGGTCACCAGTTGTCAATATTATATACTGTAATTACAAATGTTAAATAAAATAGCTGCAATTCATATTGATTTGCTTTAATTGACTTGTAAAATTGTTGATGCTGAATTAACGCTGCTGAATAATTATATTATTTCAAATGAAATAGTAGCTATAACAGATAATAATTAATTAAATAAATTAAAATTTCATAATTGTTTAAACATAATTTATATGTGCTAAGATTTATGTTTCTATCCTAGTAAAATATGTAATCAAGATTAACGTTTTATTTAATTTAAACATTGATAACATTTTAAAATTTGTCACTAGATATCTTTTTAAATTAAAATCATTTTATAAATTAATAATGAATAATTTTTAAAAGTTATAGTTTTTAAAACAATGTATTTAAATCCGTATTGTACGGTGTAATATATTATTTCTTTAACATGTTTAAAAATAATTTATTTGATTTTATTCATTTGAAATAATTAAATTATATTTTTTAATAGAAAGAATTAGGGTAATTATATTTAAAAATGATAAAAAATGTTTTACATTTCACATTAAATAAAGTTTACAAAACTCATTAATAATTATATGTTAATCAACAGCAAATACATTTAATTTAGCAAAGGTAAAATATAGATAAACAAATAAATAATTTGATAATCATAAACGTTTTATTAATCTGTATCTCTACAGCATTAATGTAAGCTTTAATTAGCATTTCATAATAGCATCCTTTGATTTCTTGAGTTCATTGAAACATTCCTCCATTTTCTTGCTATCTTTTTCATCCGGGTCTTTCATACCTTTGACGACTTGAGCAAGCTCAACCGCACAAGTGTCAAACCCTTTAGACTTGTGTTTATCAGCAACCTCATACATGCCCTTCCCATTAGCTGTTTGGCTAAAACAAGGTTTGAAGTTTGCCACCGCTTTAGCACCAGTAGCATCCTTGCAATCAGCTAGAAACATTTTCAATAAAATAAATTAAACCTTATAACCAAAATGAAAGTAAGGACATACCACAAAATAATGAGAAAACTGACGTATTATTAGTAAGATCCCAACATGGAGCAAGGCATTTAATTTGAGGGATTAGGCAGCCCACGAAAACAATCAAGGCTAATTTCGCATACATATTTATGCAATTAAATTAAAATAGGAATAATATTCAGATTTAAATTTATTTTCCCAAATATTAGATATAATTGTTTTCAATGAATTGCTTTATATTTATAGTTAGAAATGTCACTGAATAAATACATGTCATAATTATTAGAAATATTTTAATTATACTGAAATTTACTAAATTATTCAATATTTTTGAAATCAATTTATTTATCCAGCATAATCGGTTTTTTCCGCATTTGTTTGGAAATCTAAAATATATTTCAATTGAAAGATTTCTATCAATGTAATGATGTAACATATTATATAAACACATTAATTGAATAATACCAGATACTCTGTAAATAATTTTTAAATAAAAAATAAATTAAAAGAAAAAAACAAATGATAAATCAGACTATTTATTCATTAATACAAGAATATTCTCGAAGAATACGCTTTTTAAGGACTTTATAACAATTAAGTCGAGTCTGGGCTTTTGGCTGTAAATATAANCCTTTGTGCACTATTTTTGAACTATTCGTTAACTAAATGATAATCAACTTTTAGAGTTTTAAATTGTATACTAAGGGTTTTTACTGGTTTTCTATGATTTGACCCACGTTCATTTGAGTTATAATACAAAATGATTGGTGTGTGTGTGTCTGTGTGTTAGAGAGAGAGAGAGAGAGAGAGAGAGAGAGAGAGAGAGAGAGAACTTTAATATATTTGTTGTTTTTTCATTAATAAATAAATAGATTATGAAACGAACACTATTTGAAAATTTAAAATTATCCAAGGAATATGTGGCAATTGATTGGATACATAATCTTATATATTATTTCATCAACTACAATATCCATGTTACACACATAGATAGCCCGGAACTAAGCTACCAAGTTACTAATTACGATAATGAACAGTTTAGATTTAATATTCGGCATACGGGTCAATTAGCAATTAACCCTGCTGAATCATTCATAGTATGGTCGGAATGGTATTCCAACGGAACGGCAGTTATCCGAAAGTGTAACCAAGACGGAAGTGAACCCAAAATACTGGTCTATAACGGTATCCGACAACCAATGTGTTTAGCTATCGATTTTCAGTCGAAATCCATTGTATGGATTGACAATGAATTGCATTCACTATCGACTATCGATTATTTCGGTGACAATCGAAAAATCATCAAAACATCGAAACAACACTTCAGCGACTGTTCCGCAATCGATGTGTTCAACGGTTCTGTGTTTTGGTCGTCGCCTGAAGAGGAAAGCATTATTGCCATTCATTTGAAGGACTATTCAATAAGTATGTTATTAACAATGTTTAAGTTATAAACTTAATAAACATAAATAATAGCTTTAATTTGTATTCATCGAATTTTCTACAGGAACTGTTGTAAAATCAGACGGGCCCATTTATTTCAACAAGATAATTCACCCTGATAAACAACCAGAAAGCACAAACTATTGTCTTAACAGTACATGTGATCACCTGTGTCTGCCAAAAGGCAACCAAAGTTACCGGTGCTTATGCTCGGACGCCAACCAACTGGACACGTGTTCGGAACCGGAAGCACATGTGGAACGTCCACCGGATATACCGGATATCGTGCAAAATATTAGCGCCCAAAAACAATTTAAATAACACTACAAATAGCACTATTGACAACAACACTGAGATAAATAAACTGGAAACTAAATTTGATAATTTAACTCAAGAATTGCAGCATATTTTTGGAAAACAAGAACAACCTAGTGCAAATAGTAAATGGTTTATCATTACGATAATTGTAATTATTATAATAAACATTTTAGTTTTTGCATATTTGTACAGAAAATTATTAACGTAAGTTACTTATTAATGATAAGTTATTATTTTTATTAAACTAATACTTATTTAATTTTACAAATAAAATATATATTCTAGGCAATTTATTGCAAACTGTTCATCGAAAACAAGTAATAATAAGCATAATAATATGGATGACATGATAATTATGCGGGAGACTTCAATTAATAGTGAATTGTAAATTTTTGAGTTAAATGTTCAACTAATCATAAGCTTTGTAGGTTAGCATACAGCATGAAAGACCCGGGTACTTCAAATTAAGTTAATTAATTAAGACAAATTAAGAGAATATTTCAAAGAACCCGTGAAATCAAAAAATATTATTACATTGTGTCATATAAATTATATAAATTATATAAATTATATAAA